AACCTTTAAAACAAATATAAATTCATATTGCTAGATATGGTGATTTATACTTTAAATTTAATGCAAAAGTGATGCATAACTTTTAAGCGCCATTGTATCTAGAAAAGTGTAGCCTTCTTTCATTATTTTATATAAAGATTCTAAAGAAGGATACTCACATATACCTGAGTATATACTTAGAAAAGATGAAGTCTTCTTCCAATTTTTATATAATAGATTACGAAGACTTCACTTTTTCAGATACATCTGCTTACCTTTTTTTTACGTACTTGCCTACCCTAGATGTTATATATGCCTGAATACATACTAGTATTAGGGGTAGTCTTCTGCCAATATTTATATAATAGATTACGCAGAAGACTACTCTAAGTATCATCTATTAAGAATTTGTTTATTCGTGATTCTTTTTCCATCTTGCTATACGCTTCTTTTTGCAACTATTGAAAAAAATTAATTAAAGATTTCTGAATTTTATAGAGATAGTATAACTTTTCAAACTAACATCATGCATATACCAACTAATTTCGACTAAACCGATTGCTCCGACCCTCTTGATGAATATTTGAGTGACTCAGATATCTATAATGATGAATCTGATTACAGATCAGATGATTATAATAGCCATGAGTCTAATTGTGAATCAGATAGTGAAGAAACCCCCTGCACTTCAACTAGTACTACTGCGACTCCATTATTTCAGTTATCAAAAGTACAAAAGCAAAATATTAATGTGGCATATACTTTAAGGCAGGAAAAGTTTAATGATAATTTTTCTTCCAAGGACTTGTTAAATACAATTCGAGAAATTTTCCTATTACCACCTAGAGATATGTCAGATGAAAAGGGCTCATTGGAATATCTCCCAATCTATTCATTTCTCTTTTTGAATGAAAAAGGGTCTAGTTTATATAATGCTTATGATTGGGATGAAGTGGAAAATAAATTGGTTATCAAAATCGATTAAGACGATCAAGCTCCAAAGTTTTCTGTTGCAGATGACATTTCCAAAGTATATGGTTTACCTGGGATTCATGAATACATTAATGATCAAAAACCTTTAAGAGCTGTGATTGATATAGATGCTTCACAAAAAGATATGGAAACATCTGGTGTTAAGACACAAGAAGTATTCATTCAAATCTGCCTATCTTTTATAAGAGCCTTGTATTGAATTCTCAACTGTAGTTGGGAAAATATTCTCAATGTATTAGTTATTGCTACATCTTCAGATTCTAGCAAGTGTAGTTACCATATTTTATATGCACTGGCTCTTCTTATTGACCATCATGAACTCAAAGCATTTACTGAATTAGTATATACCACTAGAAAACGGAAACCGTTGTGAGTCTGGAGCGATTATGTGTTAATTTAAACCTTATATATATTATATTTTTTAAAGTATTATAATAAAATTATATAACAATTGTAGTAATAATTGCAATAATAAATTAAACTTTGATTCGAATTAAAATTTATATTAACATTA